ATCTTTAACAGTGTATGTATGTGTCTGTTATCAGCAAAGTTACTTATGAAATTCTGAGTATATACAGTACAATATCAAACGTTTATTCATAACAGAACACTGAGAGTTGCTATTAATTTTGTAACACCATATTACAAACAGTATAACAAACATTATCAAATAGATAATATATGAGAATTCAGTACATATTGTATTATACAGAACAAACGAATGTATAAACTACAACCTAGAGGCCAATACACACAATAGCTAGGTTATAATAATAATAGTAAAGGTCACTTAGTGTGCTATGATAATAAAGTTACTGTTGAATGTAACATACAATTCATAGACAAATCAATGTCTAGGATTGAAGGGGAGAATAATCATAACAGTGATACATTAAACAATAATAAAACTCTTCCTAATAACAATAATAAAGATAAAGAACCTGTCATACAATACTCTACACAAGAGCAAAGACTGGTTAAACAAACTATAGGTTTAAATTACAAAGACAATATAAACCTAGCTATGTATCTAACAGAATTTAACAAATTCCTCAACAAAGTCTATAACAATCTATTAACATATTATAATACTATAACATGTATAGACAAAGAACAGTAGATCAAAGCTATGAAGGATGAAATACAGTCACTTTAACAATGAAATACATGGATATATACTATCCCCCCTACAAATACAAATATAATTGGAACAAAATTTGTCTATAAAATCAAAAGACTAGCTAATGGCTGAATAGACAAATACAAAGCACAATTTGTAGTGTAAGGATATGCTCAAAAGAATGGAATAGACTTCTATTCTAATGACTTATTTGCTCTAGTAACAAAACTATTAATAGTACAATTATTGTTATCTTAGACAGCATCTAAGAACTATGAAATACATCAGATAGATGTAAAATCTGCATATCTTTACAGAGAACTAAATGAGGACAAACTCATTTATGTGAAACTACTACTAGGCAGGCTACTTATAGATATTAAACCTAGACAGGTGTTATGCTTAAATAAAGTATTATACAGATTGAAACAAGCAGGTAGACAATAGTACAAGAAGATTACCAAACTACTGCTTAAGATCAGATTAGAATAAGCTAATTACAATCATACTGTATTTTACAAGAAACAAAATAATAAAACAATTCTTGTAACATTTATACACATTAACAATATTACAATTATTAGCAAAACTATTACTATAATAACAGTATTTAAACATGTATTAAAACAACACATTGTATTTACTGACAGTAATAAAATACATTAGTTACTTAGTATTGAAATAAGCTGAGATAGACCTTAACAAATGATTAGCTTACAGTAAAAGCATTACATTGAAAGTATAATCAAGCATTACTACTTTGAAAATGAAAAGGCACTATGAACACCTATTACTCCTAGAATAGATTTATCTAACAATACAAACAATACATACAATACAAACGAAAGTAATAATGAAACAATGCCATACATGAATATGGTAGGATTGTTAAGATATGTTGCAGATTGCACACAGTCAGACATATCTTATATTACTGGGCAATTAGCATGCTACTTACAAAAGCCCTAAACACATTACTACAAAGTAGTGAAACATTACTTTACATATTTAAAATATACAACAAATTGCTGGCTTCAACTTGGAAGCATGAACACCTTAAAACTATAAGGCTATTGTGATACAGACAGACAAATGATGGAAGGACATAAAGTAATAAACAGCTATGTCTTTTAATTAGCTAAATCAACCATATCCTAGTCAAGCAAACAGTAAAACCTGGTACCACTATCTGTTTATGAAGCAGAGTTGTAAGTACTAGTGTATACTACTCAAGAAGCCATTTGGCTCAAACAATTCACTGAAGAAGTACTGTAGACTGAATCAGCACCCATTACAATTTATTACAATAATCAAGGTGTAATAAAGACTGTAAAGTCTGACAAAATAACATACAACACTCACACTAAACATCTTGATTTATGAAAATGTAACCTCTAAGGTTACACACATGACTTTAGATAAATATAAAAGGGCTATTTGTAGATTACTTAGAGATTATCTTTGTACTTGCTCCTGTACTTAGGTCAACCTCTCATCAATCCCAGGTCTTTGCCTGTTCTGTGTTCTTGAGTGAGGCTCTAGCCTTTACACTTTTTTTTTGAACATTGCAAAATTTGGGGATTACCTCTCATCTGCTGTCTTTCACTTGTGCCACCAGATTGTCAGCCTCCCCCCAGCTTCCCCCCACACGTCCACTATCTACTACACATTTACAGTACTCTACAGTGAGACCCTAGTTAATTATGAGTATCACAAATACTATACAGATATCCTGTTCTCTCTCAAGAGCTTATAGGGAGATTGTTACTACCTGCCAGCTGACCTTTGATCTCCTAACAGACCCTCATTAGAGGTCCTGGACTTCTGGGAGAATGTGCTATGAAGATTGTATATGGTTGTGCCAGAGTAGGGTGTGTTACACATTATTGTGAGTCTGGTCAGCTGTCTACAATTAAGGTTCTGCTACTTAAGAATATGCTTTACTGTGTCACTTCAAGCAGATTATCTACAGACTTGCTCTTACTCATAACCTTTCTGCCACTCATCACAATCTCAAGCTAGTGTTTAGAAACAAGCTGTGGAAGCCCCTACTATCCTATTCCTGAAATTGTTTGAGGAGAACACTATCTTAGTACTACTATAGAGATTAGGAGCTACTACACAATTGCTCCACCAGAACACTATTAAGAAACAAGCTACAGAAGGACCCACTGTCCTAGTCCTGAAATTGTGTAAGGAAGCACTATCTTGATACTACTACTAATATCTGAAACTGTAGCATAATTCTCTTTAGAAGCTACAGGTTCTATACTGATAGATACTGTCTACTTTCAGTACAACAGACATTACAGTCAAGCTGTCAACTATAGTGTATTTGTTGTATGCTTGTTGTACCTACTACAACACATATCTCTCTATTGTCAAGGTGTTTGTCAAGACTGTCTATTCCTTGCTATACTATCTCTTGCTCTGTTACTGTCTAGTGTCTACTATTATTGTCTACTGTCTACTAAGAGTATAAAGTCCCTTTCCCTTCCCTTCCTGTTTCCTAGAGTATAAAGCCCCTTTTCCAGTTGTGGACCTAGTCAGAGTACCAAGCCCCTACTAGTGTTAATTCCAGTCCTGAACATATAGGGCCTCTGCTAGCATCACCTCCTGTTTCCTAGAGTATAAAGTCCCTTTTCCAGTTATAAACCTAGTTAGAGTACTAAGCCCCTACTAGTGTCAACTCTAGTCCTGGATGTCTAGGGCCTCTACTAGTGTCACCTCCAGTCCTAGACCTAGCTAGGGTATCAAGCCCCTACTAGTGTTATTCCTAGTCATGGACTTAGTTAGGGATTATGCTCTACTAGTGTTATCCAGTCCTTTCCTGTCCTGTTCTGTCCTGTTCTGTCCTGTCCTGTCCTATCCTGTCCTGTCCTGTCCTGTCCTGTCCTGTCCCCCTTTGTCCTTCTAGCATGAACAGACCCCCTGTTGTCTCTACATACTCTGTTTTACCTACACACCACCTGTACTCTCATTACTCTCAGAATTAGTATGTCAATTTTGTCAACCTAGTCCTTCTACTCCTCCTAGTACTAACACACACCTAAGGATGGCTGTTCACTTCTCAACCATGCATTTCAATCAATGTCTCAGTTGTCCCCCAAGTAACAGGTGCTAGCATAACTGAAGAGTTGTTGAGTTCTCTTTATCATACACTCTAACTTTCATACTCCTTTTTGCTCATACTACCAAACAACTCCTATCACCTCCAACACCCAGCCTACTGTTAGTCAAACAAGACCTTCTCAGTTGTCTTCTCCTTATCTGCAGCAACACTGTACTCACTAGACCTGTTGGGTATCATTCACACATTCCTTATAGTACTGTTTAATGTCTCAACCATGTGTTTTAGTCAATGTCTCAGTTGTCTTCTCCTTATCTGTAGCAATACTGTGCTCACTGCTCACTAGACCTGTTGGGTATCATTCATGTGTTCCTGGCAGTGTGGTTTCATGTCTTGACTATTATGTACTCCTTGTCCCTGTCCTTGTCTCCTGTTCTTACATCTTTTATTCCTTCTTCCTTCCCCTCCCCTCTTTCTATACCTTTCCTTTCCCTCTTCATTAATTGCTTCCCTACCCCCCCTTTTATTTCTTCAGAGTAGGGAAGAGTGTAACCTCTGAGGTTACACACATAACTTTAGATAAATATAAAAGGGCTATTTGTAGATTACTTAGAGATTATCTTTGTACTTGCTCCTGTACTTAGGTCAACCTCTCATCAATCCCAGGTCTTTGCCTGTTCTGTGTTCTTGAGTGAGGCTCCAGCCTTTACAGAAAAGACTTTGTACAATGTTACATTCAAAACAATTATATCAATGTATGCTATGTTCAATCACAGAACCAATTAGCAGACATCCTTACAAAAGCTCTCCATGTTCCACAGATCAAGCATCTAAACAAACTATTAGGCATACAGTCCTAGTTCTTAATTAATGCTTGAAGGGGAGTATTAGATTGTGCTCTGGATTAGGAAATCCCCAATTGCCTTATGTAGAGTTACTATACTTGGAATGTCTCAGACTATCAGACTTTACTATGTAGTATATAAGGCAGACACTTGCTTGATGTCTCAATTAGAGAGAGTACTTGGGGCACTCCTGCTACGCTTGTTAAAACACTCACTAGGCCTCTGTAATAACGATGGAATGCGACACAACGTGCCTCTATGCTACTCAAGTCTATGTTACCCATGTTTTGTGTAACCTTTAGAGAAACGATAGAGAATATTAGAAGACATTTACTAAAATACTATACACCTCAGTGCTCCAATGATGAAGTTCAGAGTCTTTTAGGTTAGTTTCCGATTTATCAATGACAGAGTTAGGACGTCCTACCTGAAAATAAAGAGGCCAGATGAAATAAGCGAGTCCATGAGATACTTTAGGAAGGCAGTCTCCGATTTGGGGAGATCGCTTTTGTATATTGATATTTTTAGGCCAAAGAATTAGATAACAGGAATACATAAACATTGTTACATAGTAAGCTTTGGCAAGACCGTTACTGTTCGTCATTAGAGCTCTCGGCGCCTCATCCCAACGCGACATCTGAGCGGCTTGCGCAGGAACCCTTCACGGGTATCAAACTGAAAGGTTACACGAGAAGTCATGAGTTAAGTAAGATAAACAAGTATACACTAATACTACTCACCTGCTCGTCTGGTTTCTCAAGCACAAATTCATATCGCCGGAAAATGGACGCGATGATAATCAGCAATTCCATACTTGCTAGATTACGTCCCACGCAAGCCCTATAATCAAACGCAATCGGATCTGTCAGCAACCTTGCTTCTAAAACCGATACATAAGGAAAGGAAATATACCTCGGTCCAAAGGAAAACGGATTAAACGTCTTCTGAATCGCAGCTTGGTCACCTTCCAACCACCTCTCGGGTCTCATGGCCTCTACATCTTCACCCCATACTTCTTTGTCGCGATGAATCGTATATGTCGGCACGCTCAATACCGTACCCTCTGGGAAGGTCTTGCCACATACGGTCAACCCACCCTCGGGCACGAGACGTGGAAGGCCAATTCCTGAGGTGGAATGAATGCGCAGGACTTCGTTGATGACAGCGTCGAGATAGGGAAGAGATTTGACCTGTTGGAAGGTTGCGACGGGGTCGTCTTCTCCAGCTAGAGCAGTGTCGAGCTCTTGCTGGAGCCTCTTGAGAACGTGCGGATTGTGTGCAAGGTGGTAGGTTATTGCACATGATGAACTAAGAAAGATGCATGTCAGTCAATAATCAACGGCAGTTTATTACGAGAAGAGCTGCAAGTGCAAACTTACTTTGACGTGGTGTCAGAGCCAGCTATAAGTTGTGTCAACGCCTCAGCAGTAAGTTCCTCCCTGCCCATCGGCCTGCCTTCATCATCCTTGCCTTCCTGCAACTTGCTAAGCAGATCCGTCCTATCCGTCGGGTTCGCAAGGCGTTTCGCAACAGCAGCAACAGCGAGACCCGCAAGATTCTTCACCGCTCTGTTTCCATTTGCATACCACGGAATCCGACGAACAAATGGTCTCCACCATGGAGGAAGTACTCCCATAGATGCGGAATATTCTCCACGATCATTGAGAACTTGGACGGCTGGAAGCTCAGTGACGTCGCATGCGGATTTCTCGGATGCAGACTCGCGACCGTACCCCGCGATGGCAGCTTTCTGGTCCTTCGCGACTGGCGCGGCATCTTTGCCTTTGAGGATCATACCAAAGGGAGACCCAAATGCCAGATCACCTGTCCAAGAGAATGAACGAAACCACACATTAATTAAGAGCCGGCAACATACCGATGATGTCGAAAGCCAGATAGTTAAACCACGGCAGACAATCAAACCAAACCCATCCATCATGTCCTTCCCACCCATCTCCCTCAGTCCCTTTCAGACCTCTTTTGCCTCCGTCGCACAGTTTGTCCCATTGCGTAAACAGTTCGCCGACGTGAAGACGAATATGCGGCTCAAACTCGAGCACGCTCTTCTGCGAGAAGATGTGTGAGACGATCTTGCGCTTTCGAGTGTGCTCCGGACGCGAGCGAGTGTTGAAGAGCCCACGTCGGATAGAAACGAAGGCGTCGTAAAAGCTGGATTTTAAGGTACCATTTCCGTGTGCGTAGACGATTTGAAGTGCAGCGGGATCGCTGATTGATACGTGGTTAGGTGCTAATCGAACAAAGGTACCTGTACCTTGACGTCAGCTACATGGAAGCCACGGCGGTGTACAAGAGCGGGAAGAAGGTGCAAAGGTTAAAGGTTCGTGAATACAGTACAATACCCGGCCATCAGCTTGTCGGGCTTCTCTTCGCCACTCGCATTCTTAATATTAAAATGAAATGAAGTCGGTGCACTCACCATACTTCTTATGCATCTCATGCACGACCTCCGACCGATGTCCTTGTGCTGCGACCCATCCCAACCACGCATCTGAGAAGCGTGCTGACAGCGGACCCGTGATGCCATTATTTCGGATGCAATGCGGATCGACGAAATAGGGGACTATAAGTCCCAGAATGAGTACGAGTGGAACAGCGACTGCTAGCGAGATTAGGTCAACCCGCGCAAGCGCGTTGGTGAGGGTAGATACACCGGTAAACCCCATAGTCGTGCTTTGCTTGAAGACTTGATAGTGATGGGCGCCAACACGGGCGGTGAGTTGCCAGGAGGTCTTTTATATGTAAAATTGAACGACCCAGAATGATGATCCGGGTCTCACGAGGGTAGCACTTGCATCATCGGCTGGACCAGACTGGTCACGGTGACGCGCAGGCGAAGAGGCTAAGACAGAGTGAGGCATCAATGTGCAGAAACGTTGACCTCGGAGGTGACAGACACGAGCGGACATGGGCGAATGACATTTATTAAAAAACCGACGGGAGCGGATGTCCTGGGTGGCCGAGTACTGCTTTTGGTAACCGCCCGACGACTCCTTTGATTTTGTACGCCCCGCTCGCCTCTGGACAAATCAATTTCGTCTCAACAATCTTTCTTTAGACATCTTTTTCATCCAGGACGTTCATTTCAGCTGCATGCGTCATGGGCTAGGCTTCATATTTCATCCTTTTACCTGATCATCGTCAGGTCTCGATGTAGCTTTAGTCTAGACCTCAGTCTTGTCGCTTACAGTTGAAAATATCTTATTGCATAACGTCGGGAGAGGCCTCAGACCTATGCAATATGAGCAATATGCATTATGGTAACCGTGCGAAAACATTACTTAATTAGGAAACCAAATTCGATATTACTTTTCAATTTATTTGAAGACATATACACTATGACAAGAAAATAAGCACATATCTAGAGTATCAAGAAAGACAACCAAGACAATGACAAGTACAGTAAATGTGTATATCACTGTAAAACTCAAGAAATAGTTTGTAATACAAGGAAATACAGTCAGAATCTGTAGAAACAAAAAGATAGAAAAAGCTAGTCAATACAAATAACTTTCCCCCACATATCATGAAGAGATCTTTGCTACCCTATCTTGGTCTTGTGACAGCATTGAAGACATTGTAAGTAATGAAATGTCAATCAGAAACATTCTTTTTGTATTGAAGTACATTAGAGAACAATATGTGAGGCTTCTGGGTACAAAAATCACAACAGTAAGCAGTCTAATTTCCAAAAATGCTCAGAATTTTACATAATTTTCTCACAAATCTTGATGCAATATGCAATAGACTATTTTTGTGCATAATTCCCTTATCCCGAGCCAGGATTAGGCAGAAAGCTATGCAATATTCAATTTATGCATTATAATGTGATACAATAAAGTATTTTCAACTGTATATCCTTTCTTACCTAAACTTGATTATCTGGCAAAGGAAGAACAAGGTTGTGTTGTATACAATCAAAAATAAGTTTTTTGTAGAAAACAATGTACTCCTTTTGTTTTAAACATGCACTCTCAAGGTAGGCTTTAACACCTTATATTCTTGTTATTAAGTAGTTAGTAATTATAAACAAAGAAGAAATACTTTTATAAAACTTTAATATTATTCTAAAACAACAAATAGGTAAAATGGTGTAACTAGACAACAATTGTACACTTACAGATAAAAGCTTGTATATACAGGCTATAGTTATAGTTAATAGTTTAAATAACTGTAACTATGAATCTTATCTTTCTAGTATTATTCTTATAGTTTAGTAAATATAATTGTATTTTATATTAATAAAGGCAAGTAATATATTCTCTTAAAAATTAAGTATTATATTATTATATATATGTTAGAATGTGTTTTCTTAGGTTATCACACAAGTAATGAGGGTGTAGACCCTGATAATAATATGTATTTAGTTAATAAGTTGTTTGCTTTTATGTTATTCATTTGTCCATATGTCTTAGATATCTGTTGTCTCATTATTTCATATCTGATACTTATTGTGTATTCAATACATGTCTTGTATTGTGTATCCAATACATGTTTCTTAGTTCTGTGTCTGTTCTGTTAATTCTGTATCTGTTCTGTTTGTATGTGTATTAATTGTTTTACTAATACTGTAGTGTCTGTAATTGTATCATTAATCATAATACATGTTAACAGTCCCCTTCAAACATTTACAAGACTTATTAAGTCTGTAAGGTGTTTGATTTTTGGAACATGTAGTGATTTAGTTAGGATGTCTGCCCTTTGATTGTCTGTTTGAACATACTTAATATTAATAAGTTGTTCCTCAACATAACATTTAATAAAATTGTATTGTAAGCTAATATGTTTGGTTCTTGTTGAGTATTTCATTTCATCTACTTCTATAGATTTAATTACTGCTTGATTATTACAATAAATATTTGTAGGTGCATCAGAGATCTGTAGTATCTCATCTACTAAGTATTGTAATATTATAGCTTCTTGTATTCTGTTTAATAGTGCTATTATTTCTGCTTCATACATAAATAAGGATACTAGTTTTTGTCCTTTACTTGACCAAGATATGAGTGATTCTCCTAAGAAGAATGTGTATCCAGATATTACTTTATTATTTTCTTGCATCATTCTGTCTGTATCCATATAACTAGTGATATTATTATGATTACCTTGTCTGAATATTAACCATTTATCTTTGGTTCCCTTTAAGTATTATATGTAATGTACTACAGTATTATAATGTAACATGCTTAGGGATTTTAAGTGTTTTACAAGTTGTGATGTTATAAACACTATGTCTGGTTGTGTACAATCTGTAATATATTGTAAGGATCTGACCATATTTATATACAGTATTTTGGATATAAATGTGTGTTCATCTTCTAGTAAATTATTATCTGTAACTAATTGCATATTTGGTTGTATAAGTGTTTGCAAGTTCTTTTTATTTTGCAAGTTATATTGAATTAATATGTTTTTAATATAATGTCTTTGTCTCATCATTATTGTTTGTTTGTTTCTATTGTGTTTGATTTCTATACCTAGTAACCAATGTAATTTGCCTCTGTCTGTAATTTCTATATGTGATTGTAAAGAGTTTTTAATCATATTAATCATATTATTACTTTGTACAACAATAGTTATATTATTAATGTGAACTAATAGTATTACTACTGTATGTTTTTTTTTCTTTGTGTAAAATACTGTAAAGTTGTATTTTGATTGTGTAAAACTGATTGTATTAAGTATTCAACATAAAGTTTTATACTATTGTTGTCTAGCTTGTTTTAAACTGTATAATACTTTGTACAATCATAATACTTGTCCAGGTTTTAACTTTATTAAATCACTTGGTAGAGGTTTAATAAATATTATTTTGTTGTTATTGAGTTCTCCATTTAAGTATACAGATTTAACATCTATTTGATGTATTTTGTAGTTCTTTGAACATCCCTATACAATAGCAAGTCTTATTAAAGATATGTACACAGTAGGTGCAAATAGATTATTATTATAATAATCTTTACTGTCTTATTAAAATATTCCTTGTACAACTAATCTAGCTTTTTGTTTCTTAATAGAATTATCTGCTAGACATTTTGTTTTATATACAAATTGTGTTCTAATAATGTTTGTGTTATTAGGAGGATATACTGTCTCCCAAGTATTGGAGCATATTAATTGTTGTACTTTGTTGTCTATAGCTTTATTCTAAAGCTCACAATCACTTCTATTGATTGCTTCATTATACAATAATGGATTTGCTATTATTTCCATATGTAATTTGTTAAATTCATTAAGATAAATTATAATATTCATTTTGTCAACATATGATAGACCTTTTTAACATTTACTAGGTAAATTTGTTTCACCTAAACGTTCTGTAGTTTTGTGTTTTTGAGTAGAGTGTTGTAGTTGTATAGTTGTGTTGGATTTTCAATCAGATTCAGCAGATTCTTGATTGGATTTGTTGGATTACATATTTTCTACCAATTTCTGTTTGTTTTGTGTTTTCTGTTAGTAATTCACTTTCTCTGAAAGTGTTCCCTTGTCTTCTGAGGATGTACTAAGGTCCTATTGTAAGTGCAGAACTGTTTCAGAGTAATAGTTTGGGTTGTTTTGTCTAGGAGAAATGTATTAAAAACGTTTGATTATTCAGGGAGCTTCTGTTCAAGCTTCCAGAACATTCAAGCCTATCTTCTTTCCTTTAGATTTTGTTTCAGTGTGCATCCTTTCTTTGTGTACTTGGTAGTGGTATTTGTTTCTGTTACTAGATCCTTTGGACTCAGGCATATTGTTGTCTTTCTCAATATCCAATTTGTTTTCTTGGATTTCTTCCAAGTCCCCTTCAATTTGTGAAGGTTTTGTGTTAAGGAATTGTATATTACATTCAATAGTTATTTTTCTATCATACTATGTAATATGACCTTTTGAATTATTGTTGAAACCTATCCATTGTCCATAATAACCTCTATCTGTTATTTTAGATAGGTTTTCATTCTGTATTATAATGTATTGACTAAATTCGTGTATGTTATCAATACTAGCATTGTATCTGTATTGTTTATAATAAGGAGTTACATATCCTATTACTCTTTGAGGAGTTCTATTGTGGATATATGCCTGTAACATTACTACTTCTACCTATAGGTATAATAGAATGTTTTACAAAGTAATAGAGGCACATATTTGTTTGAATATTGTTTTATGTGTTTGTTCTACTACTCTATTCTGTTGTAGTGTATGTTTTACTGTTAGTCTGGATTTTGTTCCTTGACTAATTAAGTATTCTTGAAAGAATTTCCTACAGAATACTCTATTGTTATTGCTTTGCAATTGTTTTATTTGTATTCTGTATTGTGTAAATATGTTTGTACTCTATTAAACATATTAAGTATATGTGTTGTCTTTTGTCTGTAATTTTAATAAAGATACCCAACATGTTGTATCATTAACTAATGTTAATAGATATTGTATATTCTTATATCCTTCATAGGATACTAGACCTATTATATCCATATGTATTATATTACTGTAGTTTGTACTTATTTCTGAAGATCTTATTTTTGAATGTACTGTTTGTTCAATGTTTGCTTTTATACAATCAACACATTGTTTCTCTTCAAAGTTTGTTATCTTTTGAGATAATATTATTGTGTTTTTCTGTAATAAACATTTAATATAGTCATAACTGATATGACTAAGACGTTTATATAGATTGTAAACACTGATTCTACTCATGGAATTCATATAATGAGTGTTTCTTAATGTATATAAGTTGTTTTTGAGTTTAATCATTCCTATTTTGTGTTGTCTGTAATAAATAATACATTCCAATTGTTTGAACATGAATGTGAAACCATTGTTACATAATAACACTTGACTTATAAGTGAAAAGTTCAAA